CTTGCTGGAACTTCTAGCTCGACCTTTTCCAAATGTATGGAGCAGCTTAAGCGATTTTAGCACTTCGACTATACGTAAATAGAGGCAGTTGTCGAAGGTGCTAATTTTCGCCGACTTCGCTTTCAACTTCAACGACTAAAAAATCCACAAAAATTATTCCCTCAACCGAAGCCGTTTTGATATTCTAAAACTACGTGAAGTTTCCTATCAGATGATATCAAGCTTGCTAGCAAAACATTTCATCTTTGGAACGAAATTTCCGGTTGAAAAAAACGAAAGTACTTATGTGCCAACCCAATATTTCTCCCTTTTTTCTTCAGTTCGAATGATCGCGGGCTTTGCCTTGAACCAATTCGTTCTGGGATGCGCCAGGCATTCTGCTTCCATAGAATCCTAGAGGCTTATGGAATGCGCTCTGCCTTATACAATGATTTGAGGGGCCAGCCGATGAAGTAGTCACTGTTCCTATCCTCCCAACTGGATCTGTTACCAATTCATCGTCTCCGAAGGGTGTAAGGCTTGGTTGGCCAAATAGGCGAGGTAATCCATAATTAGACCCTGCAAGAAGCATAGATGATATCGTCGCAACCAGTCGGGCAGGTTTAGAGTTAGAGTGAGCCCACCCGCAGCGCTTCCACCACAAGTCGTTCTATTCCTAAGTTCATCACTGAGCGATTGCCGTAAGTAGTGCAAGACAACCGGAGGCAGACTTCCTGCCCCCCCCCCCGACTGATAGCGACGCTATCAATTACACCACTGGCCTTTTGGAACCAGTTCTGCAAGTTCAGGGACAACGGTCGATTATTGCAGTCATCCTTGGCAATGCCATTTTCTCAGCCGACATTTCGAAGTCCCTCAGGCAATTCTCACATGAGTTCTGGCTTCCAAGTCTTTTTTGGACTCTTCAAGTCCTTTGAGCCCTTCAGACTAATCTTCAGCTCCTCTGAGCCCTTGAGACTTAGACTGTGGTCCAGTCTCGATTGAATGTTCAAAAAGAAAACTCAAGAGCGAGCACTCTCAGTTCCAGAACGTTCGGGTTCAGGTTTTTCAGGTATCCCGAGATTTAATTAAAAAGCTGCTGGTTGAAATCCAGCCCCTTTCCAAAGATCTACTGGTAATTAATCATCGACCACTACTGCTGAATATGGTTGGAAATGTGGAGATTTAGCGGAAATCACCTATAACGAACTGACTATCCTTTCCAGAAAATGGGAAAAATGCCAAAAATTTCCTCATGATGGTTGTCTTATTTCCGTTCGTTGAGTGTATGGCTGACAATTAGCGCTGATAGATTGCGGTCAGCCGATATCGGAACGCCGAGAAGCGATTTTTCTCGCCACGCGCTCTTTTTGCAAACGTTGACAATTGTCCGTCAATGAACCCTCTTTACCGAGTGCACGATTTTTGGGACAGCTCGTGAACCGATAAGGTCCCTTTCCAGGGTCCCGATCTGCCTGAGAGTGAGCGAATTAGTACATTAACCCTAGCAATAACCAGATAACTAAGGGCGACAAAATCTGGCAAATTTTGGGTGGCGAACATTTTATTTTTGGGCATGAGGAGCTTGATTTAATGTTCCAGTGTTATTTATTTAGTATTTCGCCATTATTTTATTACTATTTTACTCGTTAACCTGTGTATCCAATGGGTTATGTACGCAAAGGTTGTCATCATCGTATTGATATTGATGGAAAATCTTGGCGAGCCTACGGTACAATTAATAAACCCTCAGAGAAAAACACTAATCAGTACGATAGCCCTGTGCAGTACAGTCAATACAGTGCAGGCCTCCGTTTTTCGACGCTTTCAGTCTTTCTTATCAGTGGAAGCAAAAAAGCAAGGGCTTTCTCGACTGGGTGCATTGTTATTTACATCCCATTACTCTCGATGTAATAACTATAACTACATAGTAATTATGAGGACAAATGATTGTAATTAGTCATTCTGGTCTCCGCTGTAGCTAGTTATGGTAGCGGTCGCATGAATAAAATAGAAGGGAAAGAGTTCGGGCCGCCTGGAGCTGTTTAGACTGACCCTCCTCGCTAGCGCCTACAGTTTTCTAAGAAAACAGCTCCAATGAAGAGTTCAAATCCCTTGGGAGAGCGAGTAACCAGCCTGCACTCGACTTTTCACTGACGTCCTAGCTTGTCACCTAACTAGTACCTCAATTTTTTGAAAGAAGAAACTCCGAAGATAACCCTCAGTAATGAAAAAAATACGGAAAGGAAAGAGTAAATAAGGAAGATGAAAAAGAAAAAAGCCATAACGAGAAATCAAAAAACTTTATTTACTGGTAGGTGTCAGCAGAGCAGAGAAAAAATACTTTTTCGATGCGCCTTCTGCAAGTCTAGGCCCCGAGCCTCATTCCCTACATTTGAAGCGTGGTGCGTGCTGAAGTGTAACCAGTGGCGGAATGATCATGTAAAAACTTCACTCAGCGTGGTTGAGAGGCCCAACCTTTTAGACCATCCACGCTACAAAATTTTCGCTGGGAATTTATTCCAGCATGCAAATCTCTGCTAGGGTTATACGGGTGTTATGCTTAACAAAAAACCGCGGTGATCTTTATCAGTGCCCTTTCATCGGCATAACTCGACACTAGGAAAAGTGCTTATTTCACTCAGGAAATCTCACTGCAGATCTGTCCCCTCGGCTTACTGGAATCGTTTATGTCGTTCATTTCACCCCTGAACTATGAGAAGCCTGTCCTAGATGTCTGATTTAAGGAAGAGAACATACATCCCTCAAAGCGAAGATAAACCAATTGTTGGAAGATCATGGACTTTTGACCAACTCTTGTTTTCTTCATAAAATACATGTCTTATTCCCGATCGGGGCACTACTAACTCCCCAGCGGGGAGAGGCGTCGATTTCGCGTCGGCTATTCTGGAGACCTGGCCGTTCTGGCTTTTGGAGAAAATGCAATTGTTCGATTGTTGACTTTTCCCCGGTTTCTGTCGGTTTTTTCCTATTTCAAGTGCGCTTTGAACCTTGAGGAAAGTCAGGAAGATGTTAGTTAGAATGGTAGAGATGGGAGATGGGGAGGGGTGTGTGTGTTGGTGGGGGGGGCTGGAGGTTCATGCTCTTCCAAAAAATATTCCCAGCGCGCACGGATGCCCTATCTCATATGGGAGGGAGTATCATCCTTTATTTTATATGCTCTCGATAAAATTGCCTAGCTGAAAGCAATGCAAATATCAGAATGTCCCTGTGAATGTCCTGTCCCAAAGGACGTGCGTGTTCCTATGATTTCATTCTCTCGCGTCGATGTTTTCATTGCTGTTTCATGGAGGACGACGAGCCGATACACGACTTTGGCGCAGCGTGAGCATTAATACTTGACGAAGTGGGCCGTCGTCAGAGCACCCGAGACAGCTGAAGCCTGCTGGCGCTCGGTGGTTTGAACGGGACACTCCTCACTAACGGGGTCCCCAATCGCGTTCCTCACTCTGAACCCTCTCGAAAAACTCCACTCCATCAGTGCACGAAGTTGAAGTGCGGCCGTCATCGCCACATCCATCACCATTTGTACTATGGAATTTTGGTCAATTTTTTGAGCGGCTAAATACTCAAGGGTTCTCGGCTGCGAATGGTCTAGAGCCGTTTTGAGTGCTCTGCGAAGAAGAAAACTGTGTGGAAGAGCTTCATGAAGAAAGCAGAGCTCTGCCAAGTGCAGAAAAAACTGAAATGGAAGATAGAGAGCTGGCAAACCCTGAAGAAACTGCACCCGCTGCAACACTTCAGTCTCTGGTGTGGACAAACTTTGCTCCATCTCTTCCATCATTCGTTCCCAATGTTTGTTTTTTTAAGAAGTTCTCGCTAGACTAGCATCCAAAATCTACTTATTACGCCAGCTCTTGCTATCACGTGTAATCTTACCACGGAATACCGAATAAATCAACTTGGAGAGCAAGAGAAATGAATATCCTCAAGAGACGAGATAGGCTGCAAGAGTTCAAAGCATGCGAGTGACAAGCACCGTTACAATTCAGCCATGGCCGGGCAGCAGCTTTTCCCTCGCTTCAGGAAAGAAATCTCTAAGATGTCTCGGAAAGAATGACATCCACACAGGAGGGAAAGCGTTAAAAATAGAATCGATGCAGGTGAAATATTCGTAGAAATAAGGGGAATCTGCGAAAGAGTCTCGCAGGAGCATCTACAGTTTGACTTGAAGCTGACTTTTACTGCAATTCAAATAAGTCAGTTAAAAAAGCGAGTCGATGGGAAAAAAGCAGGAACATAGCGAGTTGAATTAGTGAGCGTTTATCTGTCCTCTCCAGGATGCGCCACGGATCCTACTTCCTTGCAGAATCGCCGTTGCATTTGAAGTGCTATTTGGCCGATACAGTGACCCTCAGGAGCAAGGCAATTCACAAGCTGATCACTGCTTCTACCCTCAGAGATGAATGAATATCAATTAGCCGACCTGGGACAAATAAAGATTCGGCTCGACTTGGCGGACTTTGATCCTGGATCGATCTGAGCCACTATGCCACCTCATCCCGAGTACGGGCACGAATTCCAAGAAATTTCCTCTGACAGAAACCTTCGAGGGAGCTTACTTGGGAAAAAATGTGTTTTGGGAAAAAATGGAAAAGGGAAAAAATTTTGGGTCTAGAAAAGAACTATGCGACATTGCGGACACTGTGAATCTCTCACAGAAATCTCCCCAGGATACTTCAAAAATCAAAAAGTCACTGACTTTTCGTTCCCTTTTCCCTTTTTTTTCTTTTCCTGACCTCCTGACGTCTGAGTGGAAGAGATTTAGGAGCTTCGAAATTGAAGTGAACAAGTATTCTGTTGTTTCCAGTTTCCTGAGCTCTTCTACTGAGGATTTCTCGCTGGGGATATTCGCAACTCTTCGCTGGTCCCTCATCCCTCAATTTCGCCCCCGCCCCGACCACCCAAAGAGCAAGGATAGTCCGGACAGTGCACTTGGCAGCTGGCCAACAATCTGCTCTATTGGTGTGTTTGAACTTTTTGCTGTCACACTAACACACGTCTACGTTAATGCGATCGGCTAATGCACTTTCCGGTTGGAACTGACACTGATTGATTCCATCGAGAGGAATGAAAATCAATAAATAAATGCGACCCCCTAAAAAGAAACAGGAAAGGCGAAAAGCGTGAGTCTCATGAGCAATAGGAAGATCTATCAATCAACAACTGAAGCGCCGATCATAAAAATCAGCCGCAGGGCCTTGTCCTGAAACCGAGGCTCAATTAAATAATTATCTGATTTTTTATCTTGCCGTCCACGTTTTCATAGTTCTACTACCCCTCGATATTGTACAGTCCGACTTCGTACCAAACAAAAGAGCGCAGTCGACCTTATCAGTGTGATAAGACCGCAAAATTCCCCTCATTCCACCGCCATCAGCCCCGTGTGGGCGGGTGGCGCCGTTGCGCCCTTGCGGCCCAAATTCGCTTAGATACCGATGACGACCGACGACGCCGCCGACGACCCCGCCCTGCTTTGCCTTACGCCAATGCCGGAATTTCCAATCGTCCTAAAATCCGACAACAAGATGGGCTGCTGCCTGCCTGGCAAACACAACGACACTCAGCCTTGAACAGCCTCTACCATGAACACAATGGAACGAGCGAATCAAGAACAATTAAAGATCGACTGGCCAATCGACTATGCTATCAGCCAAGGCGCAAAAACAACGATTAACCGCGCTGGAACAGAAGGGCCTGCAATAGCAAATGTAAAAACGATAAAACACAATGGCGCGAATGGACAGAGAGATGAAAAAATTTGAAAAATATCCAAAAATCAAAGTAACAATCATCTGACCTGTTCCTGTAGTGACGGCCGAAAAACGATGAGGAAACCCTTCCCAAGAGCCCGGCGGTAACTACTGCCCTCCGCATGCTGCCAGACTCTTCTTGACCAGCTGTGTCGGCAACTGGAATGATCGCCGGAATCAAGTATGCCTCCCGGCTCGTTCAACCTAACAGTTTCGATACCAAACTAGCCCTAATAAAAACAGCAATAACAATAGTGAATAGTAATAATAACAACAGCGATTAATAATAGTAATAACAATAATACTAGTAATAATAATAAAAATAAATAATAATTCGCGCCTATAGGGAAGAGCGAAAGAAGCTGCGCAAATGAGAAGGCAACGCGAAAGCTGGACGGCTATGAGACCAGTAAGAGGCGCCGATGCCCTAAAGATTGCATCCCTTATCATTTCGGAACTCTGCTAAACTCGTCACTCGTTCTCTGTAAGACACGTCTCAGAGCGCGGTCCATCAGCTCACCAAACCTTTCCCTTGATCCGTGACCCGTATTTTTCCTTCTTTCCTCTGTCTTTTTCCTGCCCAGTCTTCCCTCTTTCCTCTTTGTTTTAAAAGCTTAACTAGCCGAGCGAGACGAAGAATAATGCCCTCTTACGAAATCGCCCCCAGCCAAGAGCGGAACTATTGATCGACAAATGCCGCCTGCAAGGGTAAAGATAAATACAATGTATATTCTAGCGCCATAATTTCAAGCACATGGTTCCAGAAGCAGCATAACTCAAAATTTTGAAACTGCAAAAAAGCGCAAAAATCTCAGAACAGAAAAAGAATCGGCCCAAGTGTTGCCATTTTGAATTGCGCCCTATTGAAAAAGAACAGAAGCCTCTCAAGATAGCGGAGTACAATTACGCCCTCTTACAAAGCTCACGAAAAAATCGAGCCCTTGAAAACCGATTTTTGTGTGCTATTATGCCATATAAAAAGCAAGACTTTCCCATTAGCCACGACTCTATTTTCCTGATCTCGTGAGCCCAGGCTTTCCAACGCCGCCGCGGCCCCCTGCCCCCAGCAGCCGCCGTCTGGCGAGAATACTACAGTCGACGACTTACTGTACTTTACTTACGAAAGATGCTTCACCATGCCAATTGCGCCCGTAATTCAAAGCTATTCCTGGGTCCGGCAAATGGGAAAGCGCCACGTAAAGTAGTGCATTCTGAATTTTGCCCCTAAACAAAACGCCGCCTGAACGCCGCTCCTTGCCAGTATTGCTCTGCGGCAGATGAAGATGCCTATGACAGGCGGCCGCGATAGGTTTGGCGCAGCCCGCCTAGCATTGCACAACAGCTTGCTTGCTTTTCTCGCACTTAGAAACTGCCTGCTAGAATGGCGTTTGGCCGTTGTTGCCCAACCCATCCCCACCTTACAGTTCCCATTACCCCTGCCGCGCCCCCAACCACTGCTCATTTCCGCACACAACCACAGCCGCTCATATTCTGCCAAAGCTTCTCGTCGCAGAAGCCAGGAGCTCGCGCAGGTATTCGAGTGTTGCTGCCCCCGATTCTGAATGCGGAGTCGACGCATGGCCCGCCATCCTGAGATTGGCCCTGAGTATTAGAGTTACGTCACTCTGTTGGGTCAGCCTCAATAAATAAAGATTCTTAATGCGATCGAAAAAAAATGATTCCAGTATGCTTCTCCCTATAATACTCAGAATTTCCTGCGGGCTCGTCTCCAGGAAAAAAAAAAAAAAAAAATAACCGGCTCTCCTCCAGCCTTTGGTTCTTTTGACACTTCCATGTGTTTTTCCTTTCTCAGCCTTTGTTTTCTTGAGCTTCAGCTGATCATTATTTTTCCATAAGCTCTAAGGAAGATGCGACTGCTATAAATTCTCCCTTCCCATCATAACTTCCTGTGACGTCAACGTGAGCGCGACGTAACGCACGCCTTTGCGGTCGGCCTCCCTTAAGACGCCCCCACGTCGCCCCCATGATTTATTACTCCGACTACGTAATTGCCCTATTGATTGCTCAAATTTTCCCCCAACTCGATTAACTTCGGCCCTAATTCGCAGGCTAAACCACGCCGACATCATTTGATGGCGATGGCCGCCCATTCGCCCCCAAAAAACATCTTCCTGAATGACGCAGCCCTCGAGGCAAAAAACCGTTATCGGTCATCGGTTGACCCTCGTTTGCTGATACGATAATGTAAGATGATTCGCCGGCTGTGGCCCGCAATGATCGACATGAAAAGAGAGAGTGCTATCGCTTTTGGTCGGCGATAAAAAACCCTCCCAGCTCAACTTGCCGAATCTGAATTGAATGCGCAACGCCGACAGCGCCCCGTTCCTCAATTCGAAACCCAGCCCGCACAGCAAGAAACCTCAGCTGTTCGAGTACGCGATACATAAATCTGGTACAAGCTTTTCTTGGCCCGTCGCCCCCACGACTATGACTGCCTACGCGCCGCCAAATTACAACGGCGCCCGCATTATACATTCGTTATAGGGCCTTTTCATGAGAAAAACCCGTTGATAGCGCGACATGAGATCGCGAACTCGAGTAATGAGCATTGAGAGCCAAAATAGCCCAGGTTTTGTGATGATATGACCGATGAATTTCATGAAAGGCCATCAGTTAGCGCCTTCAGCTTAAAATAATGCAACGGAATTGGTGATCGATAAGTTTACAAATAGTAGCTAAAAAGGCGATTTATTATAGAACAGCCTCGCAACAAAATTAGCCCGAAAAAAGGACGCTAATTAAAATTTCACACGCCTGTGGCAGTTGTCCTCCCAGCCTCACAATGTTTAACATGAATACTGACCATGGGTATGTCTCCTCTGAGTAAGAAGTCTGGGTATGCTGTGCGCCGGGGAAAACCGCGAAATCTGTTACTGCGCGAAACTGAGCCATTTGACTTTTTCAGAGAGTGCTTCGGCCCATCCAGCTCGCGTGTCGACTATTCGCCTGCAGAAACGTCACTTTTTCTTATTAAAAAAAAGTTACACAGGTACTGCCTCAGACGGATGTTGGCTCTCTCGCCTGCCTAAGACCTTACAGTATCTTCTTACTCGTTTTGCTTCTGCGCTGAGCATTTGCATGAGAGGAAAATATTTTCCCCGTTTCGCCCAAAGCTAGCCTTCAATATTCAAGTGCGTGAGAGAGTGGTAGTAGAGAGTGTGATAGGAGTATGATGGAAGAAAGCGGAAAGCAAGAAAAGAGCCGCAAGAAAAAAGGACGAATGGGCGGAGATATTTTCGTTGCCCGATTCTCTTTTTTCCCCTTGACAGATTCCCTGAGACCTATGGGTTCGTTGATGCCGCTAGCAACTATTGCTAAGACAAAAACAATATATATAGGAGGGAATGTGTCGAGGGAGAGGTGAACTGCCCGCTGTTTCGCCCCTTAAAAAAACCATTTATAACAGAGAAAAAAAAATTTCTACTCCTTCGCTGAGCGGAAGGAAGAAAGCCTAGAAAGTGGTAGCAAAAAATCAGCTATGATCAAGATAGTAAAAAAGAAAAGAGTGCTCGAGGATTAAGACCGCGATAAACCAGAAGTGTGGGGGGCTTCGAAAAGAGCTCACCCGCTCCAAAAGGTCTTCGTCGACGAAACATTGCTTTGTGTACGAATCTTCAATGGTGGGGTCATAGTCCTGCACGAAATATTGCTGAAATAAAATGCAAATTAGAAAGCGAGGAAGGAAGTCCAAATCAAAAACATCAATTTTTTTAGTTTAAAAAATGTGATTACTTGTATCCATAAGTGTAGTCATATGCAGTGATTAGAAGATGATTATATTTTAATTTAACACGGTGACTGTAACGATATTGGGTGCTGGGGGAAAACATTTCAAAACAAACACCTCGTTTGCATATTGTGGATACTGGTATTCATTTACAAATCTGTGGTTGCTAAAAGACTCTCCAGGGAAGAAAAAAAGCAAAAAAATCATGGAGATCACCCTAATTGAGGGCTCCCAGTAGCCCCACTCTAGGAACTCTCCAGTTTTCGTTTCATGCCAGAAAGCGGTATCCTGCTGCCTTTGGCTCACTAATCATTGCTTCGTGGGATCCAATGTTAACATCATTTACGGTAAAAAAACAACAGAAGACATGCAGTAAAAGCTGAACTTGTGACGGGAAGTAGCCATTGAGATTTGGGGGGCGGAGCAACTAGGGAGGCGTCAGAACTGCCTCTCCTCAGCGCCTTTTTGCGAAGGCACAAAAAGGAACAATATTAGAGGCAGAATAATTCGACAGGGAAAGAAGTACGAGATGGTGGAGCGTGATGGTCGAGGACTGTCTTCGAAGGACTCCTTGTGGAGATGAAGAGCTCCGCACAGACCGGAAGGGAGAAGGAGATCAGCGTGGGTGAACGAGTTCAAAGTACGCTGACCCTGTCCTAATGATGGTATTCTTAGTTCTGCATAAGGGGTCCTCCGGATGTCCCCATGGCTACAAATACCCCTAAGTCAAACAGCTCCCCATCAACTCATAACCGTAGCTTGGATGCCTTTACTTTTCTGTGAAAGTCAGGGATAATTTTACGTAGAATAGTTATTGCCACCATATTCAGTTTTTTATGATAACATAGTTGTAAAAAAATTTAATATACCAACAATAAGACAAATAAAGAAAAAAGAAAAAAGAAAGAATAAAGAAGAAAGAAAAAAGAAGAATAAAGAAAAAAGAAAGAATAAAAGAATAAAGAAGTAAGCAAGAAGCCCAGCAACTGAGCATAAAATAAATCTATTCTAGAAAATCCCGTTTCTGAGCAAAATCGACACTTTATCTTGAAACCATCAAAACAGTCCAAGTAAGCAGGACAGTTGGGGGGGGAGGGGGAAGGGGAGGTTGAGAGAATCCAATCAGTCTTCAGCTGAGAGTGAACAGGGTGATACATCTTCACATACACCAATATTTTGACATAATTTGACATATTTTGTAATATAAATAAATGTGGTCTTCATAAAATAATTTATTCTTCCTTGTCCACATCCACCTGTCACAACCCTATCTACACTCCATATATCGCAGAATCGTGGAGGGCCGTGGCCGACGTAACTACCATTGTAATGTTGCCATATTACCCCCCCCTTCTTATGAGGAAGTCCCCTCGCCTTATGTGCTCCAACAAAACCTGGCTGATATTCTAACCAAAAGGCAACAATCCGACGAAAGTGCAGCCTAGCCACGCACTCATAGGATCACGCAGACCCACGCACACTTAACTACGCTCTTAGGTACGGGATGGTACTATATCCAGCTTTAGAAAAACCACAGATTGATTACATAGTTGTTCATAAGTTGTAGAACTATGAAAATCACTATAGAATGTTTCCTATGGAACATTCTCAAGAAACCTGGGTCCCTGATGTCCCCAAAAGATTTTCTGCTTTCTTGAATGACATCCAATTTTTCCACTTCATTTTGTCCGTAGCCTTTGTTCCAAGGATTTCTAGGGCGTTCGTCGCCAGTTGAGGACTACTTTGAGATGCATCAAAAGCGCACGTCTATCTATCTTCTCAAGTGCTAAAAACATCTTTCAGACGCCATCTAAATGGCATTTGATGTTCTGCGGTGGGTCGCCTCCGCGCGCTTTTTAACCTTTTACGGATTGCCACTGAATCATCGCCTTAGAATGTCAAACATATGCTGACTATACGAACCTCTAGAGGCCTTTTGACTTTTCTGGCAAGAAGGAATGCCAGCTTGGAGTCCATGCAAACTGGCATTTCTTCCTGGCATTGGCCAGACTGCGGTATTTTGGGGGATCTTCCAGGTTACACCAGCTACGCTGCTGGCGGGTTTAGCTAGGGATGCCATTTCATTCCCCTTATTAATCTCCTTAACTGAGCCAGATCTGATTAGGACCAGACCTATCGTTGCCCACCTACTGGCAACTACCGTATCCAACCAGATGAGTGCTTCTTGTGGCAAAAACCACAAAGGCATGTTGGTGCAGGATTACGTAGTGTGGAAATCGGACACTTGCAGCGTTTTGTTTACGTAACGATTGAGAAATTCGATAATCAGCAAAGTGTCTGCGCAGCTCGACAGCCGAGGGTGCCGACATGCCCTAGTTGACGACCAGCCGTCATAACACAGCTGATTTTTCCGGTTCATGCCGCCACTCTGGCCTTTCTCCAAAGTATTTATTATGGCCGCAAGAGGAAATAAGCTCAAAAATGGACTTGAGAAGTGAAAGGCTTCCTATGTTCGCTTGCTGGGGATCTCATTGACCTGCCTGATCGACAAGGATGTAGCAGGAGAACTTTCAGAAAAATCTACAACAGTACTTTAGTGCTTTACAACATTATGAAGCAGGAAGAAGCAAGAAAGAAGAAGAAATAGCTCCACTATGGAACTTCTGAACAGACATCAGCCAGTGCGATTTCCCACTGAATCGAAAAAGTAGTCCCAGCCGAGGTAGCCCAGCTAAGGTAGCCCGACTAAGTGCCTGGTGGGGCAGTGTACGGGAGTTCATTCGCAACTAGGTAATCCTAACGAAGATATTCTCTCGAGAACAGGGTCTCGCTTTCTATGTACCTACGGTTCACAGCTCTGTGGAGAGATTACGGAAAAAATCCCTACAGTTTCAGGCCATGTGATTTCATGTTCACCTCGTTTACCTGGAAGGCTCTACCGCTGAAAGCGCCAAAATAATCCTGGGTGAAAATTAACTTGGAAAAGAGAATCAGAAAAGCATGGGTATTTCAGTGGCAGCCAGGCGATCAGAATATGGGCCAGAGGGGTGCAAGATTAGAATCTAGCAATCTAGGAATGATAGTAGGAATTTTTTGAAAATTTCGAGGAAAACGAATTCGAAACACCCTCAAAAACTCGAAAAACAACAACTGGGAGTTTCATCTAACAACCTCGTTTGGCAGAGGCAACTAAACATACAACTGGAAGTATTCGGAATGTTGCCAAGAAGTCAATCTCACCAGCGCAAAGTTTGAAAAATTGTGGCGCGACCGCGGGTGAGCAACCTCGGGGAGACCTATATGTGCCTTCCTTTTATTTTTACCCTGGGAAAAAATAACAGGAAGGAGGCGAACCGCAAAGGGCCCGTACAGCAGATGGTTTGTCACGATGCCCAAAAAATGAACTTCTATTCCGCTAGAGCGATTCCAGGTAAGAAAACTACGGATAAAAGCGGAAATTTGACTCCTCAAAATTCCAGTTCCATAGCCTGAATTTTAAGACAATTCCGAAAAATAAAAAGTGAACCAGGTGAACCAAGAGTTCCACTCTTCAATTCGCTCCTTAATCTTTGGAAAAGTATAGGATCAAAACAGCGGCTCTCATAGTCCACCGGTGAAAAAAATGGCAGGAGAAATGTGAAGATTCTTGCTGAATTATTCTTTTCATGAAAACTTTCTAGCCCTGTTATTCACTATTGGACTAATTTTTGAATGGAATCGATTTGAAATTAACCGTTCAAAAAGGTAAAAACGAATTCTTTGAGAAACCAGGAGGTGAGTAAAAAAATAAATAAATGATTGAGTAAATAGTATTTTATAAGGTGCAGTTTCGAAGTCCTTCTCGAGTGAGGTGGCCGCCCAGTCAATTTTACATGATCAGAAATCAAGTTACGTTTAATTTTCGCCGAAGAAAAATGGGCCGGATGTGTAGGGGAGTTGCCAAGGGAGCGAAGCACTCTTCAATAGACTGCTGACTACTTGAAATGCAAAGAGTTTTCATGAAAAGCTGATGCCCTTGTTTTGTTACTCCCAGCCTCTACTGCCTCTATCTTCTAAAAATAAGGTAAGTAAGGAAGAAGGGACAGCCTAGAAAGGCTTAACAACGGAAACCCAAGTAATGTACCCTGTGATGGGTAACCGCATTGTTTATTGTTCCTTCTCGTATCCAGAAGCTCAAAATGACGGGTAAACAAGGTTTAATCTCAGCGATAACTTCCAGCAGGGATACTTTTACTGACAAACGTCTCTAGGGAAAAATGACAGGTTTATCCAGCTGTTCCTCTCACCCTCTGGTAACAAAACTCTCTCCAAGTGACAGGACTGCGCTAAAGCAAAACTAAGGGTAAATCAAGACCAGTGGTCACGGATATTTACTTGCCTTGAAACTATCATCAAACGTGATGGAAAACGGCAGTCGAAATTTATAAAGTCGAGAGATTAACCGAAAGTTTTTTCGTTAAAACCCCCTGATCTCTGGCAATCCTAGTATTTTTTGGTAATATGAAACATATTGTTCAGTCAAGGTTACTAGATAAACTTCAGGGGTGGCAAAAAGAGAAAGGAAGGAACAGAAAAAGTTGAGTTTCCGGTTAGCCGCGTACCTTGAATGGAATGAGAAGAACTAAAATACCTCGTGACTTTCGCCCCTCCTTATAGTCAAGCTTAATAAGTTCTCACAAGTCAGCTCAAGGGATAATACAGTAATGAGTAATGATAATGAGAAGTTTTATTCAAAATGTTTCCACTAGAAAACACATAAAAAGGCATATGCGTTACTGAATAAGAGAGGGTTGCATGGCGTAACCCAAGGCGGTTCGTCATGAGAAATTTTTCCATTTTCTTTTCTCTTCCTCTTCTCTGGTGAGTTTCCCACCAGACCTCCAGAAATCTTAAGGAAGCGTTCTATTTCAGAGAAGTGATAGAGTTACCAAAACAGGTCTATCCGGTCCGGTTACCAGGCTTTTTGGGTAATTCCATTTAAGTATCCTATTTCCCGTTTGTTGTGCAGGTGCTCTGGAATAGGAAATCTTCCTGTTCGGAGAAATGGCCCTTCCGGAAACAACTTCTAGTTGTCCTAGTAGAAGGACTTGTTTGGCCGTCTGATATTACTACGGTAGTATCCGGTGAAGAGCGTTCCGTTTACTTGTGCTTGTTATTGGTCCAACTTTACTACGTAGTTACCATAAAAAACAGTAAAACTAACAGAAACACTGAAGAAGCAGCAAAAAAATGTTACAAAAGTGGGGCAATGAGCACCGCTGGCACATTCATCTAGTTTTAGTGGATTGAGTCGTTCCCAAGAGTGTCCACCTGGGAATGGTAAACTCCTACAGGTCCAGTCTAGAAGGGGAAAAGGCACTCGACTTCCCAGACTCACGTGGGGGTCAAAAAATGTTCAAACCTCACCATAGTACTGGTGGAATCGAAATGCTCTACGCATTCGGCACAGGACCAGCTGATAAAGGGCTTTATCAAAGGCCTTTATCCCTTTTTATCTTTTATGGCGAACTCTTCCCTCAAGAGGAGGTACTGCGAAGGTTTTTCTTGCATTTGACTGGGATTACTCTACCAATGAGACAGTAATGGCCTAAGGACTCGTAGTCCAGACCAACGGCGGTATCGTTCTGATAAGGGCTAGGGCTATTTCTCGACTAACGACATGAAAAAAGGCTTAAAATAATCTGAAAATACAGCTAAAGTCCCAGTTTTGGAATTCATCCAAACCCCCGGGCCCTTCAAAATTGGCCTTTGCGCCTACCATTATGTGGACCCCTGGGAAGGGTGACACTACCACCGGATTTGATTTCAGGCAAACTCGTAAGATTCAAAAGTAATCGAATATTCAGAGAAATTTGGTTTTCATGCCAAACGAAAGGAACAGCCCTTTTGTGACAGCTGAATCACTTCAAAATGCTAATCGACGAACGCCGCCGAAAATGGTGTGAGACAGGGAAGTTATATAGAAAAAAATGGAGATGTACAAAGTAAAATGAGCAAAATTCGAACCGCGCAGAAGCAACGTCGTGTTCTTGCCAGCTAAGATGGCCCAGCAGATTACAGGTCGGGAAAAAGCTTTTCCCCCGTTCCAATAATTGATACCCTTGTCGCTCAACCGTTTCATTCACCTCAAATGTACCGCCGCTCAACCATCCTCAATTTTTACACCTGGGCTTTGCCTGAGACAACAACTGTTCCCTGTTTTGTGTACACGTCCTATTCCCTGAGCAATCTGACGTACTTAAGCTGTACAGCCAACTTTTGGCCGTTGACCAACTTAACAATGCCGTCCAGCCGGCTAGCCTTACCGCGAATAGCACAATGTCGGCAGAGCGCACAGAACATTGCGGTCGGATGGCTGATGGCGGTCGACCGACCATGGGGCGTGGTCGACGGTGGGGCGGAGCCGGCGTTCATGCGAAGCGCCGACACGATTGCATCTGGCCCCGTGTCTGACACACTCGTCTGACGTTGTTTTCTGTGGCACGATGGGTGGTGGCAGGACTGGTGGTGGTACTGCCGTCACTGGCAGAACTAACAACCCCACAATATTACGAGTTGGTGGTCATAGGTGGTGGTGGTGTCGGTAAATCGGCGCTCACCATACAATTCATTCAGGTTGGATCTTAGCAATCATGCGGATTTTTTATTCTAATAATTGATAATCGATTGCTTT